TCCATTTACTGTCAACGAGGAATATAAAAGTAAATATCCTCTTTTCACATTGAGAGTTCGGGTTTTTGAGGTCGCTGAATTTATTTCCCATGTCAGATCGGTCAAATTGACAGTTGACAGCTGTCAAATGACTGTCAACTAGGAATTAAAAGTAAATTCCTCTTTTCACATTGAGAGTTTGGGTTTTTGAGGTCGCTGAATTCAATTCTCATGTCAGATTGGACAAATTGACCGTTGACAGCTGTCAATTCACGGTCAACGAGGAATATAAAAGTAAATATCCTCTTTTCACATTGAGAGTTTGGATTTTTGAGGTCGCTGAATTCAATTCTCAATCAGATTGGACAAATTGACCATTGACAGCTGTCAACTCACGGTCAACGAGGAATTTGTCAACTGTCAATTTGTCCAATCTGACATGAGAATTGAATTCAGCAACCTCAAAAACCCAAACTCTCAATGTGAAAAGAGGATATTTACTTTTATATTCCTCGTTGACCGTGAATTGACAGCTGTCAACGGTCAATTTGTCCAAAAACCTTACCCTATATATTAGAATAATTAAAATATGCTTTTGACATCTGTAAATAGTATTGAAAATGAATAGTTTTTCAACGGGTCAGGGGAGCTTTGGCAACTCCGTAGCTGCCAAAATATTCATTTTGGCACTTTGTGCCCATGGAGACTTTTGTTCAGGATGACAAAATCTACAACATATCAAAAATTCAGACAATTTGACAGAAACCCAATTTCCATAAGATTATTGCGGGGTCCTTTGCAACACTCCAAGATTAATGCAAATGATCGTAAATTGCATTGCGAAATTAATAGAAAATTGTCTAGGGCAACAAAAAAAATATTCATAAACAATATGGAATTTTTAACCTTATATTTATCAAGCAAAATAAAATTTCCTGTTTTCGTTTTTTATCGAGTTTACGGGGAATATTTATATTTACCACATATTAAATAATTGGCCGACACGGTATAAACTGGTACATAGAAAAGAAAACAATCAATATTGTAAATCGAGACAAGAATAAGAAATTAACCCAATACCGTTGTAAATAGGCCATTTATATAATACCTAAAAAGGGTTTGTTTTGGGTCAAATTGAACCGTCACGTTAGCGTCGGTCGATTGCAGTTTTGAAATGGAGTTGACGAATTTATTTTTCAAGAAAAGGTCGCTATGTTATAACTACCAATTGAACTGGACGAATGTAATTCACTGATTCGTGAAAAAAACCAAAACACCTGAGTTAATTTGAGCGAAATATTTTTATGAAAACGGAACATTAAATAAGGCGTTATAAAAGCATTCAGTGTACAATTCGAATGGATAAGTTTTGTTCCCAAAGTAATGGATTCGGAGCTCCGTTAGAAACTTACTTTGATTTCCCGAATGACGACATATCCAATGACGAATACCAAGTTCCAGACTTCCCACATATCCAATTTTAAAAACCACTGCATTTAGAAGAAATTAATATTGAGATAACTAATGTTTTTGACAATCCTGGATCATCCGGTTGCAAGAAACCAAAGCTCACATAATTTAAATGTTTTGTTTTTATAAATGTATTTGATTAAAACAGTGGTTTTATAGTATCTTAATTTGTATGTTATTTCCTTTCAATTTTCATTTTCAATTTTGTGAAATTCAAAAAATATTTCAGTTTTGTTTGAAGTGGAACCAACTGTCTCAAAGTTTCAAATTCTTTATTTCTTTGGTGACAAAATATCGTTTTCCATTTCTTTGTTATATCAATAAATATTCTGTATATAATCAATAGAAAAGCCCTATAGAAAAAAAAAATAAAATTTTAATGAAACAAATTAAGAAGAAGCTTACAGTTTAGTAGCAGTACATAAAAGATTGAACATTGAAACGATGTTATGTGAATTTTGTAAGATATAGATAATACACATTAAGTGAGTGAACACTTGTTTTGTGCATTATACAATACAATAAATATTATTCAATAAATTAATACATGAAAATATAAAAACAAAGAGGATGAAAATTTGCTTCTATTAAATATGTATAAATAGGTTCATGAAAACTTAATTTTGAGAAACTTTTATAATTTTTGATATTTTTTATGTGGTTACTCAACAGATTAAAACATTTGGGTCCTAAAAACGTAGAAAATCATTTACTGCAATTAAAGTTAATTTGTAGAGTCCATAATAACTTATTTGAAACACTTCTAGTCATAACTTCATGCACAACATATTTAGTTGTTTCTTTTTTTTTCATGTAAATAAGCATAGCGAATGAAAATACAGTGACCTGACATCAAAAATTTCTGAACTATATAAACATCTAGTTGAGTATGTTCTGTCTTTCTTTAGGATCACTTTTAATACATAATTTTGTATAATACTTAAATTATTTAAGTTATTTGAATAAAGACCACCCCATACTAAGATGCCATATCTTAGTAGAGACTCAACAATGGTGTATTAAGTTTTTATAATAGTTGTGTTTGCTTTTTTTTAATTAATTGTTAAAATTATTTCTGTATACTTTAAATTCATTTTCTAGTTCTGGGGAAAAGTTTTTGTAAAGATTATTTTAAAAAGTTACTAACAGAACTTATCAAATAAACATTCTTGTGGGTCATTTAATAATGTTTCGTTATTTACTGGGCCTTATATCTGAAACCTAAAATTGACAAATGAAAAAATAAAACTATACCTGTAAGAAGCTTTTAGCATTTTCCCATTATTATTTACAGAAAAATTACAAGGATAAAAATCTAATAAAAAACCGTATGCAATCAAAGTAGTTAATGTGATAAATATCAATCTTTTTTTTTGTTTGCTGAAGCAATTATCATAGATAAATGAATGAATGTTTAAAAATTATTGACAAGTGATCCCATTAATAATTTTATCATATTAATTTGTATTTAAAATTACGAAATATAAATTTTCCAAATGTCTTTCATGTTTAATATATTAATTTTGTGACACTGTTCCTAATTGGGTTTACATATTTATGTTTTGATCACGTTTTTCTTTTTTTAATATCAGGAACAAAAATCTGTACATAGTTGTCTAGAGTGGCAGCTCTGATATTTGACTAAATACTTACAACCACAGTTGATCACATGAGACACTCAAGGCGACTCAAATCGTTCGCCCTGGAGGAGCGCTGACTACGGTTCGCATCAGTTCCTCGCACCCCCTCTTTATTTATTTTATGAATAATTCTGTGTTGAACTGCTCATCGCCCAAAGCTACTACGTTTTTCTACCACCTTTCGTGTGTACTTATTGATACAAACAAACTAATATATCTTTGCAAAGCCAACGTACCTCTGAGACGTGGCGTCGAGAAGGTACCGAGTGGTGGTATTTTTGCAGGCGCTTTAACGACATTCTACGTTGCATCGTGTGAACCCTCTAACTTGATTTAATGTATTTCGACGTCGCCCTTATAAATGCCGTTGCGTCGACGCGACTGCAACAAACGTTCGCGAGCACCGGCTCTTAAAATGCGGATAATATGTAATGTGCATTTTTAGCCGCTCAAATAACTAGGGAAAAATTCGACTCACTTTGTTTAAATATACGAAGAGAAGGTAAAACGTTATTTACTGTTAATAAGCTTTTAAAGCCATTATTTTTTATGTAAACGAGCTGTATGTATTGTTAACTTACAGATATCATTATTATAATTTAATTCATCCCATCACTGGACAGGAGTATAGTATTTTGTTCCTAGTATCTGAAATTGTACGTTTTATTGTAGTTTTTACCCAACTGATTTATTTCAATGTGTTACGATTCTCCTAAAAATAGACAGTCTC